TAAGTTATACAAGATTCAACTCATGTTTTTAAGTCAGTTTAATATAATTTAAGTTTAAATGACATACAGCTATGTTGATTGTACTTAAAAATTTAAGGCACAAAATAAATTGCTGCCTTAAATGTACAATCAACTTAGCTGTACAAGTCATTTCAACTTAAATTATGTTGTTGTTTTTACAGTCTAAAACTATTATAATTTTTTTTAGTAACAACTTTGGCTTTCCAGACCTGCTATAAGAGGAGTCTGTGAATGAGCTCTTGTAAAACACAAAGTTATGTAATATTTATTTCACAGCCCATTGCTGTTATATTATACATAATTATATGGTCAGGTTTCATAGAGAAAACTAACATAGAGGCACACGTGTCTACATGAGGGCACACATGACGAAATATTAAGTACAATTGGTTATTTGGTGTAAATTTCTGGCTAACCATTAAAAGTCTTTACCTTTCACAGAAGTCTCATGATCCTCTGGAGGTGTGGTCTTCTTTACTCTCCCCTCCTTCTCTAGTAATTATATATAAAAGACAGGACTGAGCTACAGTTAGTTGAGTCGTGGAGTTAAAGGCTAAGAAAGTTTTCAGGGTCATATTTACCTTGTGTGTTTTACACAGGAACTGAGCATTTGTTTATCAGTCAATTTATTGATAACGTAACCGATCGACCAGAAGTCATTCAACACGTTTGGTGAGTACTCTGTGTAGTTACTTTTAAGCTTTATCTGTATTACTACATTTCCATAATTTATTAATTTAATTTATGCATTTAGCAGACGCAGATGCATTCGGGCTATACATTTTTTACCAGTATGTGATTTACATCTGACAGTTTGTGTTGGGTTGCAACAGGTTTGCAAAATTCAGCACTATTTATTCAACAGTGGATTTTACCTCCAGGGCAAAGTTGATAGGATGTTAGTAATTTAATAAATCATTAATTTTCATTCATGTCAGCTCACAAGAGCCTGATGTACAATGTTGGTCTTGAGACTTTACTTAAAAATGTAGGCCATCAACTGTCTGTATCTAATATCACTCAGACATGACACTTAAATAATTGGAAAATTAACAAATTATAACTATTCAGAGTATTCTTGTGCATGTAAAATTGATCAGTGAACATCATAACTCTGTGCAAAGTCACAAACACCTGTTTTCAATGAATAATAAGTAATTCAATAGTTCCTTTACTTCTCTAAGAAGCATGTGTTTGTATGAAGCTGAAATTTGCGCATTTGTATTCTGAGTCTCTCTGGATCATCTGATGTCCGAAAGCACTTATATAATAGTTTGTGTTACAAAGTTGCCATCAAATTCAAAAGTATTTTCAGGCACATAATCAAATAGCATGCTTAATGAAGCATTATTAAGCTTCTTTTTTCCAAATGAATATGGCACTTTGTTTTAGAAATTCTTTACTTGACTACTTACACTGGCACACAGTAGAGCTTAATGTCCCTTCAAATGTTTTTTGGAATGTTTAGTCGTGTACTAGGCTGTTTTGTACCCTCAAATCTGTCTCTGTACCACCCCTTCCCCCAAAAATGTCTAAATCAAGGCATATAAAAGTAGTGTGGTTTACTTTAATTGTGTGTTTCTGTTTTGTGCTTTTTTATAGTCAGGTCTTAAAGTCTCTAATTCATCCAGATGTCTCTTTCTTTTCCAGAATGTACCGTCGATCACTGCTAAGATCTAGTCCACAATGGATGTATCTGTCTGTGTAGCCACCCAAAGCCAATGCAAAGCCCTTACTGTTATTAGTATATGTAGCTAACAGTTGCTTTTTACTTTCTGATACTATAATTTTCATTTGTAGAGATAGACAGGGTGTAGACTGTTCCAATTTTTTTTACTTGTATTCTAATTACTTTGGATATTTATTTATTTATTAAGAAGAAATACCTCAATAATCCTGCCCAGTTTGATTCACAATAGGCCAGTAGTGCAGTTACTCTCCAGCAATGGAATCTACAACACTAGCATCCCTAGCAACAGTTACCATGCTAACGGCAGCCTCACAGACAGACATGTCTGGTGTTCTCTGGCTGCTGGTGCTGGGCTTCGTCATCGCTTTTATCCTGGCGTTCTCTGTGGGTGCCAATGATGTAGCCAATTCCTTCGGTACAGCAGTGGGTTCTGGTGTAGTGACCCTGCGCCAGGCCTGCATCCTAGCCACCATCTTTGAGACAGTGGGTGCCATACTTTTGGGGGCAAACGTCAGTGAGACCATCCGTTCGGGTATCATCGATGTTCATATGTACAACGGCTCAGAAGCTGTGCTGATGGCTGGTTCCATCAGTGCCATGTTTGGTGAGTACATACTTAATTTAATGTGATAGTTCACCCCAAAAATAATCTTCTCACCCTCTTGTTCCAAATCACTGACTTTATTTCTTCTGTTTTGCAACCCATGAGAGTTACTGGGTTCTTTTAGTAGTAATAGTAGTCGTACCTTTATTATCCCCTTAGGGAAATTCTGTTTTAGTGGTTTCAACATGCGTTTCACATAGAAAACAATACAACATAGCAACACGAACACAATTATGAGGAAAATATTTTTCTTTTAGACATTTCACTGCTTGTGGTCAAAAGGATTTTTCCTCCTATTTTTAAGAAACACTGGCATCCTAAATCTTCGACCTGAAGGCAATTTGTTCTAGACCTATCATTGGGATACCAAGAAATTTACTTACAATATTTAGGACTTTACTCAGCGAACTCTTTTGTTCCACTGTAGCATTTCCAAACCAGCAAGTGATACAAGAGGTCAAAACAGAGGAAAACTGGCCATCATACACTAAGGCCAGTTAGGTCACGTACACACTGCAAGGTTCAGGAGTGACAACCGCATTTAAATGCTTTTTTTAAAGAAAAATATTGTTAGTCTAGACTCTAGACTAAAATTCAGTTTCAACTTTTGACAATGAAAATGTATACTCTAAGCTGTAGGGCAGTATTTTATTTATTTTTAAAAAGTATATAAATGTATACTTGCATGACGTAAAAAAAAAATAAAAAATTCCGCTGACATTTGCATGTTTATTTCAACCTGTAAATAAATCACAGTTTGTACAAAACATTATAAATTATGCTTTTTTTTTACTAAAACTGTGAGAAACTTGTTTTCAATGCAGTATTGAAATTTCATGTTTATTAAAGCAAGTGTATTTAAGAAAAGTATTTTGAGAAAAATAATAATATCCCATATAATGGAGATTGCTGAAAATGATTCCATAAATCTTTCATAGATCCACAAATGGTTCCTTTAAAGTCCTACCAAACAAAAAAGGTTTATTACATTTGACAAGACATAAATTATTACAAGAATATTCGATCTGTGGACATGCACTGCTGTCTTTTCCTCATAAATGTTGAAATAGGAAATGACTAGAAGCCAAATAATGGCTGTGACTGTAGATTAGGGTTAACCCTAACCCTGTATTCCTCTTGTATGAGATTGCTGAGCAAATGTCATCATTTCAATTAATGAGTCCTTGCAGTATCGTATATGCCCTTTGATATGCTTAAGACAATAGGTTACGTTTATTCAACACAAATGTAATGTTTTCAGAACTATTTCTGAAGCATTTATCATTTATAAAAATATAAATTCTTCTTATTTTCCATTATTTAATGCAAATTTGACAGCTCTGGTCAGCTGAAAGGGTGGATTCTGTGGATATTGTGCCTTCACGTTTTTAAGTACCACAGACAGGCTTATAATATTGCCTCTTCAATAAAATCTACGGTGGCCGAGAAGTGCTAAACAAATCACAATTCTGAAAACAAAATAACAAATTACAAACGCAAATGCAAGTCTAAAAAACAAAATAACAATTCAGAAAACACAACAACAATTCAGAAAACATTATAACAAGTCAGAAAACACAATGACAAATTCGAAAACAAAATAATAAGTTAGAAAACACAACGACAAATCCAAAAACAAATTAACAAATCAGAAAACACGACAAATCAGACAAACCGGAAGAGGTAGGTAACGTTATAGTTTGAGACAGCGCCATTGGTTTGGGATTACTCACCGCTGACTGGACGAGACATCTGTCAATCAACGTATACAGGGAAGAACCAGCCGAAGAACAGCAGAGTCGTGGTAGAAAGTTCGGAGATGGTATTAAAGTAGCTCAGTTTAAATGTATTGTATGAATTGGCCTTACTCTGGAATAAAAAATACGGGGTGTATATTTACATTTAGTTAAAAGTGGCTGTAAATCATCAGCTCCAGTGGTGCAGATGGATAAGTGTGTGCCCTTGGCTTTTTGATGCGATCGACCCGGGTCCGATCTCGCCTTTTGCCGAACTTTTTTTTCCTCCCTTTTCAAATCTCGTATTAGCAATGGATTCTATTTACACTAAGTGAAAATACCTAGTTACACTATGTTAAAATAGCAGGATTTCTACTATCAAGTATACTACTTGTTGCAAATAGTGGCAATTATCTGCACTTCAGTATTGTAGTACATTATAAAACAGTATGCAATAATAACTTATTGAGTGTAAATTATCATATTAATTATTAAATGGATGCCACCTTATTGGTACAATAAAGCCCTCCCTACACCTACCCTAACCCTACCCAATAGTTTATTTTCAAAATTTTTATTATTTCCTTAATTATTATTGAAAATAAATGCCTTTACGATGTGATAAGAGATTTGAAAAGGGAGAGAAAAAAAAGTTCGGCAAAAGGCGGGATCGGACCCGGGTCGATCACATCAAAAAGCCAAGGGCACACACTTATCCATCTGCACCACTGGAGCTGATGTTTTACAGCCACTTTTAACTAAATGTAAATATACACATTTGTTATTTTGTTTTCAGAATTGTGATTTGTTTAGCACTTCTCGGCCACCGTAAAAATCTGTTAAAAATCCTTCTAAGTGTCTCAAAAGAAATGCCATTCCAATCCAGAAGAGGCAGACTTTTCCACGCACTACACTCAGGAGCGAGCGAACCCGGAAGCGGAAATAACATCAAACTGCGTTTTGAGACCGTCGTGCGTGTTTCAGACGTATAGTGCAGTTTCGGGGATAAAGAAAAGAGTGAACTTTTCAAAGTGTGTTATTATTGTGGTGTGCACGTAATTCGTGTACACTAAGCTAGTTTTTGCATAATTAGGAACATACATGAGTGCTGTGTAGTGTATTTAGCCGTTTGTTTTTCCGCTAGCACCTGCTGTGCTGGTTGATAAAATAATTTTCATTTTGACCGCGTTTACAGTAATAAGAAGTCATGGCCGATGTTACTGCACGTAGTTTGCAGTATGAATATAAAGCGGTAAGAGTCTTATGAGAGCTATAATAATATTTTTAACGAGTTTGATATGTTTACTAAGCGCGCTTAAACGGGTGTGTTTTATTGTGCGCGTGCTGGAACTCACTTGCTGTATTTTAAAAAACCTGTCGAGTTGCCTACCTAGATAGCATTGTTGGTCAACAAAGTAGCAGTAAATGTTCCGTTTAGTTTTGAATTAAATAGTCTTTTAGCAGAATACAAGCGCATGAAGCACGTTCGTGCTTGTAATGTTTACAAATGCAGTCTAGGTAGGCTGCTCGCTAAAATTTGAAACGCAGCCGTTGAACCGATCGTAAGGGTTTGTGTTTTTCTTCCCAGAACTCCAACTTGGTGTTGCAAGCGGACAGATCTCTGATCGACCGCACCCGCAGAGATGAGCCCACCGGAGAGGTGCTGTCTCTGGTCGGCAAACTGGAGGGGACAAAGATGGGAGACAGGAGTCAGAGAACCAAACCGCAGATGCTGGAGGAGAGGAGAGCAAAGTGAGTCTGATCAGAAACGCATAGCGTTTACTTGCGTGCATTCATTCATTGTGTCATGGTCTTTGAATCGTTTAAACAAGTTTTATTTCATTGTATGATACAGGAGAAGAAAGAGAGACGAAGACAGACACGACATAAACAAGATGAAGGGCTTCACACTGCTGTCTGAGGGGATTGATGAGATGGTGGGCATTGTGTACAAGCCCAAGACCAAAGAGACCAGAGAAACTTATGAAATCCTCCTCAGCTTCATTCAGGCAGCCCTTGGAGATCAGGTAAGATCACCGCCCCTGTTTACATGTGATAGGAATATCATTTTTTTATGTAACTAGTATGGGATTTACTAGGGATGCACCATTTTCATGCGCAAAAATATTTGGCCAACAAATTCTATACTGTTTTGTCTAAAGAGTAAATATTAAAATGATGCACCAAAAACTAACAATTTCATTACAATAACTCATTATAATATAAATTGATATTCTCTTAGGGATATTGCTAGATTTGCTAAGATTGTTTTAAGTGTTTTATATATATATATATATATTATTATATATTTTTTTTTATCATAATTATTTTTTTTATAGTGTTATTTAAATTGTTCAAAAGTTTGAAATCAGTAAGTTTTTTTTTTAAGAAATTCATACTTTTATTTCATTAAGGACAAATTAAAACTATTTATAATGTTACAAAAGATTTGTTTCAAATAAATGCTGTTCTTTTGAATTTTCTATTAATCAAATAACCCTTAAACCGTGTCAGTTTCTGCAAAATATTAATCAGCATAGCTGTTTTCAACATTGATAATAATAAGGAATGTTTTTTTAAGTCACAAATCAGCATTAGAATGATTTCTGAAGGATCATGTGACACTGAGGACTGGAGTAATGGCTGCTGAAAATGTAGCTTTGCATCACATGAATAAATAAATTGCTTTTTAAAATGAAATTTAAAATTTTAAAAATATTTGTTTTTTTTTACTGTATTTTTGCTCAAATAGATTACTATTGATGAGTGTAAGAAACTTATTTTTAAAAAAACATTAGAAAACCTTACCAACCCCAAACTTTTGAACTATTTTTTTATTTTATTTATACTTTCTTTCTGTATGTAAACAGAAACATTGAGTGTAATATGTTATCACTGGTTATCATTGTTTAAACATGTTATGGCTTCGTGAATTCACAAAAACATTCTCCTTTTTTAGTTTGCTATAAAGAACGATTCATTGTCTGATAAATGTGGCGTGATGTTTATATGTTGGCGTGTTGTTTCAAATAAATGCTGTTCTTTTGAATTTTCTATTAATCAAATAACCCTTAAACCGTGTCAGTTTCTGCAAAATATTAATCAGCATAGCTGTTTTCAACATTGATAATAATAAGGAATGTTTTTTTAAGTCACAAATCAGCATTAGAATGATTTCTGAAGGATCATGTGACACTGAGGACTGGAGTAATGGCTGCTGAAAATGTAGCTTTGCATCACATGAATAAATAAATTGCTTTTTAAAATGAAATTTAAATTTTTACTGTATTTTTGCTCAAATAGATTACTATTGATGAGTGTAAGAAACTTATTTTTAAAAAAACATTAGAAAACCTTACCAACCCCAAACTTTTGAACTCTATTTTTTTATTTTATTTATACTTTCTTTCTGTATGTAAACAGAAACATTGAGTGTAATATGTTATCACTGGTTATCATTGTTTAAACATGTTATGGCTTCGTGAATTCACAAAAACATTCTCCTTTTTTAGTTTGCTATAAAGAACGATTCATTGTCTGATAAATGTGGCGTGATGTTTATATGTTGGCGTGGATGTAAACAGTGGATTGCATTAGGTTAAAGTACCACATCATAAGTTACTGCTCTTTTTCTCTCCTTTAAGCCGAGGGATATCCTGTGTGGAGCAGCAGACGAGGTGTTGGCTGTGCTGAAGAATGACAAGATGAGAGACAAAGAAAGGAGGAGGGAGGTGGAGCAGTTGCTGGGGCCTACTGACGACACACGCTACCACGTCCTGGTCAACCTGGGCAAGAAGATCTCTGACTATGGTGGAGACAAAGAGCTCCAGAATATGGGTAAATAATTTAGCTCCAGTCTGAGTCCAAACTCTTCTCATCATGATGTTCAGCAAGGTCACACCTCTCTTCTCTTTTTTGCAGATGACAACATTGATGAAACCTATGGAGTCAATGTGCAGTTTGAGTCTGATGAGGAGGTGAGCTTCTACATGATGGTTGTTGGTGGTCTGATTGTATTTTTTTAGCTCTTGAGGTGACACCAGCATGTATTTGTTTGTGTAGGAGGGCGATGAGGACCAGTACGGAGAGGTTCGGGATGAAGGCTCTGATGATAGCGAGGGAGTGGAGGCAGATGAGAGCAGCACCCTGACTGCTAACGTAAGTCACATGTCCCATGTGTTTCTGCACACCTTGTCATAGAGCAGTGGTTCTCAACCAGGAGTTGTCTTCAACAAAGGGGGGATTTGGAGTTGGAAATGCTTGAGAACCACTGACAGAGTCAAAAATCCAACCTAACATGTTCTTGTCTCTTTAGCTGGGAAACACAGGCGACGTAATGATGACCAAAAAGAAGGATCTTCACCCCAGAGACATTGATGCCTTCTGGCTTCAGCGACAGCTCAGCCGCTTCTACAATGATGCCATCGTGTCTCAGAAGAAAGCAGATGAGGTCTTGGAGATCCTTAAGGTGGGTAATGTTCCAAATCCTTGGAGACCGAGAGATTTAAATGCGTATGTCTTCCTGTGTGGCTGATTCATTCCTCCCTTTGGTCAGACTGCCAGTGATGACAGAGAGTGTGAGAACCAACTGGTGCTGCTTTTGGGCTTCAACACATTCGACTTCATCAAGGTCCTCCGCCAGCACAGACGAATGAGTAAGTAGATCACAATAGTCTGGATTGTGTCGGATTAAATAGACTATGATTTCTGAGAATATGGTGGATATGGAGAATATGACTTGGTGCAAACAGTTTGAAGGTTTACAATGTTATAAAAAGCATTGTGTCATTTTGCTCTTTTTTTTGTCATATCCAGTCCTGTACTGCACCATGTTAGCCAGTGCTCAAAGTGAGGCTGAGAAGGAAAAGATCATGAATAAAATGGAAGCTGATCAGGATCTTTCCAAAGTTCTTTACCAGCTGCAGGAGACTGAAAAAGAGGACATCATCAGGGTCAGAACTTCCCCTCCTTATTTAGTTGGTTTAGCTGAGTGTTTGAGATTTAGCAGTTTAAAGAAGGATAGCCATTTGTAAGCTTATGATCTTGTGTTTCCTTAAAGGAGGAGCGATCTCGCCGGGAGAGAGTTAGAAAGTCTCGTGTGGATGATCTGGAGTCTATGGACATTGATCATGGAGAGGTAAAAGCCTTTTTTCCAATATGACTTGGTGCAAACAGTTTGAAGGTTTACAATGTTATAAAAAGCATTGTGTCATTTTGCTCTTTTTTTTGTCATATCCAGTCCTGTACTGCACCATGTTAGCCAGTGCTCAAAGTGAGGCTGAGAAGGAAAAGATCATGAATAAAATGGAAGCTGATCAGGATCTTTCCAAAGTTCTTTACCAGCTGCAGGAGACTGAAAAAGAGGACATCATCAGGGTCAGAACTTCCCCTCCTTATTTAGTTGGTTTAGCTGAGTGTTTGAGATTTAGCAGTTTAAAGAAGGATAGCCATTTGTAAGCTTATGATCTTGTGTTTCCTTAAAGGAGGAGCGATCTCGCCGGGAGAGAGTTAGAAAGTCTCGTGTGGATGATCTGGAGTCTATGGACATTGATCATGGAGAGGTAAAAGCCTTTTTTTTTTAGTTACTACTTCAAGCGCATTTTAATTTGATGACCCAATGTTCATGTACTGTCTTAGTTATATTATTCCTGTGTTCTTTGTCTCTAGGCTATGACCTCGAGGCAACTACTAGATCTGGAAGATCTGGCCTTCACTCAGGGCAGTCACTTCATGGCCAACAAGCGCTGCCAGCTGCCTGATGGCTCCTTCCGCAAACAGAGGAAGGGTTACGAGGAAGTCCATGTGCCCGCTCTCAAACCCAAAGTCTTTGGTGATGATGAGGTATTTTCCTCTATTTTGTGAGACATTTTCCTATAGTGGGGATAAAAAGGTTGTTCTGTGGGGGATTTCTGGTTGTTTGGTTATTACATCAAATTACCACACAAGAATACACTGCCGTTCAAAAGTTTGAGGTCAGTTAGATTTTTAATGTTTTTGAAAGAAGTCTGTTTTGCTTACAGTTATAACAGTTAACTATTGAATTTTTTTAATTTATATTTTAAAAATGTAATTTATTCTTGTGAAGGCAAAGCTGAATTTTCAGCAACCATTAATGCAGTCGTCAGTGTCACATGATCCTTCAGAAATCGTTCTATTATGATTTGCTGCTCAAGAAACAATTCTTATCAATGTTAAAATGGGTGTACTGCTTAGTATTTTTGTGGAAACCGTGATTCATTTTTCAGGACTTTTTGATGAATAGAAAGAACAGCATTTATTTGAACATAGTATATTATATACAGTATAATATAATGTCACTTCTGATCATTTTAATGCATACTCGTTGAATAAGTGTTAAAGGAGACATAACACACACAGTTTCGCCCAATCTCATGTTAATCTTGAGTACCTATATAGTACTGCATCCTTCATATCTCCAAAAAAGTCTTTAGTTTTATCATATTTATAAAAGAAAGATACAGCTTTACGATTCTCTCTGCAAACAGCCGAGCTCCTAGAGGCGCGCCGTGGGCGGAGCTAAAGATTGATGAGCACTTGAGCTCCCGACTGCCAACAAAACACAGACCTTTGCAGTTTCACTTACCGTCTGCAGTTCTGAATCATGACCGGGATCTTTTATAGCTGGGACTTGTTTATACAACATTTGCCTACAAACACGCTTGGGAAACTGCATTGCTGCTCTGGAAAAACGAACTGCATCCACTGTTTACATAACGTTGGGTTCTTTAGGAAGCTGAACAAAGTTATGTTTCCCTTACAACCAAAAACACACTTCTTCAGAGACATTCTTCCTGAGCGAGTCCCGTGCAGTGCTGCTGAATGAAGCGCATTGATGGGCGTGCTCTTTCTCTCTGGTCGATGTGTGCGCGGGCACGCTCTTCCGGGAAAAATGCCCATGCAAGGTGTTCCACACTCATTTATGTCATGAAGAGCCACGATCGGGAAAAAAAACTCTCCGAAAATTGTACGAACCCAGAAGTAAGATTTTTAGCACAGAAATACTGTCATACGTCCAAATTGTTTTTTGAAATTTTGTCCATGCTTAGCATGAGAATCTAACTCTTTAACAGTATAAACAACTCTGAATGCATGAAACAGCATTGTACCCCTGATCACTGAACTTTTGAACAGTAGTGTAAATAGCAATGTATTATGAATTACTGGTTGATTGGCTCTATGTAATTTCACTATTGTCTCACAAGGATTCCCTCCTTTTTTTTCTCAGACGTTGATGGCTATTGAGAAGCTGCCCAAATATGCCCAAGCTGGATTCGAAGGATTCAAAACCTTGAATCGCATACAGAGTAAACTCTTCAAAACCACAATGGAGACGGATGAGAACCTGCTGGTTTGCGCTCCAACGGTTAGTCTACTGATAAAGGCGCAACTGTCCAGTCGCAGGCTTAAAATGAACGTCTCCATTAAGAACAATGTGACATAAATATGATGTAATATAGGCCTTAACTTGAATTGTACATTTAGCCGCAAGATATTTACCATAAGGAGACTCAAGCTTTTGTTTTTCATCTCTCTGTTTGATCTGTAGGGTGCTGGCAAAACTAATGTTGCTCTCATGGCAATGCTCAGAGAGATCGGAAAGCATATTAACATGGATGGCACTATCAATGTTGATGATTTTAAAATAATCTACATCGCTCCAATGCGCTCACTGGTACAGGAGATGGTGGGCAGCTTTGGCAAGGTAAGACTACATTATGCTTTTCCCCACCATTTCCTGTAATTTAGTATCTTTTAAATGAGTAGCTATGAATAGAATTACATTGAACATTTTCAAATTTATATTTGTTTAAAATCGTGAAAGTATTTAATGTCCCTAAAAAATGCCTCATTCATTCATAAAACATTTGTTGCTCTGTCTACAGCGCTTGGCTAGCTATGGCATCACTGTTTCTGAGCTGACTGGAGACCATCAGCTGTGTAAGGAGGAAATAAATGCCACCCAGATTATTGTGTGCACCCCAGAGAAATGGGACATCATCACCCGGAAAGGAGGAGATCGCACATATACGCAGCTTGTGCGCCTTATCATTATCGTAAGTAATCTAGTAGAGTCATATTCCCTTTTGTAAAATGTTTCTTTCATGTTTTCCAAGTCAATGTGTTCTGTCATACAGGATGAGATCCACTTGCTGCATGATGACCGTGGCCCTGTTCTGGAATCCCTGATTGCTCGAACCATCCGCAATGTGGAACTGACACAGGAAGATGTGAGGCTAATTGGCCTCAGTGCCACACTGCCCAACTATGAGGATGTGGCGACCTGCCTTCGTGTGGATCCATCCAAGGGGCTCTTCTATTTCGACAACAGGTGAGAAATTAACTGATGTGGAGAAATAGTGTTCTGCAGTGTTCTGTATGTGGATAACATTGAATAGGTTTTTGGTATAATAAAATATGTATTTTGGACGTTTTTCTCTTATTAGTTTCCGGCCTGTGCCTCTGGAGCAAACCTATGTAGGAATTACAGAAAAGAAGGCTATCAAACGTTTCCAGATTATGAATGAGATCGTCTATGAGAAGATCATGGAACATGCTGGAAAGAATCAGGTGAAACTGAACACAATAACCTGACTGGTTCTTTGTAATCAAATATATCCTAACATTTGTTCAGTCACCCTTCTGTTTCCTGAACATTTCATTCTTTTTTTCCTAGGTGTTGGTGTTTGTGCACTCGAGAAAGGAGACCGGAAAGACGGCACGTGCGATCAGGGACATGTGTTTGGAGAAGGACACACTGGGGTTGTTCCTAAGAGAGGGTTCAGCCTCCACTGAGGTCCTTAGGACTGAAGCAGAGCAGTGCAAGGTCAGCTCACAACTACCACAAAAGTGCTGTACATCACATACGACCTCAAACTGATGTACTCTCGAAATAAGACCTACATAGAATCTTTCACAAAGAAATATTCATGTTTGGCTTATGTTTTAAGAGTGTAGTACTCTCACTTTCATTTAGCACATTTTTCCAAAGGCAAGTGTATTGTCTTGCAAACAGAATATGACAAACTATTATAGTTTTAATTAATTATAATTGCAAAAATAAATCATAATTTGTAATATAAGTTGTAGTGATTTGTATGACCGCAACAGTAAATTATAATTAGCTATAATTTATAATAAATAATAAATTATTATATTATTCGATCATTTATAAAGTATTTACAGAAATAATGAAAATTTTCAAACTAGTTTCAGACATTTCCCTTGTCTGTTGTTGTTTGGTAAACATTTAATCCTACCCCAAACTCACACCATTGTTTGAGCTGATTTGATGTCCAGTAGCTAGTAGTGCAGAAATTTTTTTTTTTAGAAAAATTATTTTAAAAATTCTTCTTCTGAGATTAGTACAATAAAAAGTCCCCAGATTCATGGTCTGGTTGTAACTGAACACGCATTTATTGTGTACTGATTTTGATGACCATTTGTTTACTTTCTGTTGACAGAACCTGGAGCTGAAAGATCTATTGCCGTATAGTTTTGCTATTCACCATGCTGGAATGACCAGAGTGGACAGAACGTTGGTAGAGGATCTGTTTGCTGACCGTCATATTCAGGTTAGTTTGAAATTCAGCAATGTCAAGAACGTTTTTGATTGTTTCTTATTTTGAAACGGAGAGCATTGAACCGTGAGTGTGTTTTGTAGGTATTGGTGTCTACAGCCACTCTGGCCTGGGGTGTGAACTTGCCAGCGCACACTGTCATCATCAAAGGCACACAGGTGTACAGCCCAGAGAAAGGCAGATGGACAGAGCTGGGAGCCCTGGATATCCTACAGGTCAGTAGTATTTCTACACATACTTTGTATTGCAATGAGTTAAATAGACGACAAGTAATGTCTTGACTCCCACTCAACCTTTGTGACGCAGATGCTGGGTCGTGCTGGCAGGCCGCAGTATGACTCTAAGGGAGAGGGTATTTTGATCACTTCACATGGAGAGCTGCAGTATTACCTGTCCCTGCTCAATCAGCAGCTGCCCATCGAGAGCCAGATGGTGACCAAACTACCCGACATGCTCAATGCAGAGATAGTGTTGGGCAATGTGCAGAATGCCAAGGTGAGGTTTAAATGTACATGCAAATGTTCATTAGTCAGCCATTTTTTGTTTTCTAGCATTAATATTTTTATTGGTGAACCTTTAAGAACTTTCACAAGTTTTGATTAAATTAGGTTATAAAACTAAATGATATGAGGGACAAAAGACAAATATTTAGAAATATATAGACCCTTATTATATTGTGAAATGAATATTAAATATGATAGACAATTCAATTTTTTTTCAAAATTTAAAAAACTTTTATATTATAATTTTATATACATTTAGTTTTACACATTTGTTTCCAAAATTGAAAAAGTAGTTTTTATATTGTCATTTAAGCATATTGAAAAAAAAATTATTACATTGAAAATATGTAGTATTGCACATACCTATTATTAGTATTCCTCTGTAAGCATCTGTTGCTCTGTTTTGTTACTGTTTTCAGGATGCTGTAAATTGGCTGGGTTACACATACCTTTATGTTCGGATGTTGCGGAACCCCACTCTATATGCCGTCTCCCATGACGACCGCAGCATTGACCCCCTGCTGGAGCGACGCAGGATGGACCTGGTGCACACGGCAGCCACTGTCTTGGAGAAGAACAACTTGGTCAAATATGACAAGAGATCTGGCAACTTTCAGGTACACACAGTTTGTCATATTAACCCACTTTATGCACGATCAATTCTGAGGTTGTACCAGCTTGAAATACCCAACCCAGCATAATGGATTTCAGCAGGGCTTTCTGAACACATCAATTAACTTTTAAATGACAGCAACAGATGTGGTTTAAATTATGTTTAATTTGTTCTGTTGTAGGTGACAGACCTGGGCCGCATTGCCAGTCATTTCTACATCACCCACGAGTCCATAATGACTTACAACCAGCTGCTGAAGCCTACACTGAGTGAGATTGAGCTCTTCAGGGTGTTCTCGCTCTCCTCTGAGTTCAGAAACATCACCGTCAGAGAGGTACGTGCCTTATCTAATTAAACCAGCTAAAACATTTGAACAAACCTCTACCACCAGGATCTAATCAACATGGTTGTGATGTTCTGATTGACAGGAAGAAAAACTTGAGCTTCAGAAACTGCTTGAGAGAGTCCCTATTCCAGTGAAGGAAAGCATTGAAGAGCCCAGTGCAAAGGTAAATGCATTTTAAGATATAGCGTCAAATACAGATATGCAGTCTTATGATTGTTTCTCTTAAATTTAATGTTACATCTGTTTCTCAGATTAATGTGCTGCTGCAGGCATATATTTCTCAGCTCAAACTGGAGGGCTTTGCTCTCATGGCTGACATGGTCTATGTGACACAGGTTAGTGACTTTATCCTGTCTTGTGTAAAGGCCCTTCACAATCAGAGAATATGCATATATTTTCTGTATTAATGTTCTATTTGATTCTACAGAGTGCTGGCAGGCTGATGAGGGCCATTTTTGAGATTGTCCTGAGCAGAGGCTGGGCCCAACTTACCGATAAGACTTTGAACCTTTGCAAGATGATCGACAAAAGGATGTAAGCTGTCAAGATGCTGCTGATTTTGCCACTTAAATGTATTGTTTATTATCCAATGTGATGCTCACGCTGTTGGTTTTTTTTCCTTCAAGGTGGCAGTCGATGTCTCCCTTGCGCCAGTTCCGTAAGCTTCCAGAGGAGGTCATCAAAAAGATTGAGAAGAAGAACTTTCCCTTTGAGCGCCTCTATGATCTGAACCACAACGAAATTGGTGAATAGTGGTTATCAGTACATTGTGCTAGTCAAGTATTGTCTTTATGTGCCAGTGTCTCTAAAAGTGCCATTTTATGTAATTGTCTCATGATCTGAGTTTAAACCTTTCAGGTGAGTTGATCCGCATGCCAAAGATGGGGAAGACCATTCATAAGTATGTCCATCAGTTCCCAAAGCTGGACCTGGCAGTTCATCTGCAGCCCATCACACGCTCCACTCTGAAAGTGGAGCTCACCATCACACCAGATTTTCAGTGGGACGACAAGGTCAGTCTTAAAATAGATCAGTAAATGACTATTAATGATAATATGAGTTTTATTTTTACAAGAATAAATAATTACATATAAATTAATAGAAATATTTAACTTTTTATATATGTATATTTTATACAACAACAGCAATTTTTTTCATTTAAGCATTTTGACATTGAGCTAGCAACTAAATGTCTTTTGCTTTCAGATACACGGCTCATCTGAGGCCTTCTGGATCTTAGTGGAGGATGTGGACAGTGAGGTCGTTCTTCATCATGAGTACTTCCTCCTGAAGGCCAAGTATGCTCAGGATGAGCATCTTGTCACTTTCTTTGTGCCCGTGTTTGAGCCGCTGCCACCACAGTACTTCATTCGCATAGCTTCAGACCGTTGGCTGTGTAAGTTTACAACTTAATACTGCAGAACAAATTACTAAACCATATTGAACATTTAAAATTCTAATTCATTATGGCATTGACGTAGTGACCAAAATCCATAGTACTGTTTGTAAGGATAATAAAGCATTTGAGGTATTAAAGAAGTCTGAAGATTTTTTTCTCTCTCTTTTTCAAGCATGTGAGACACAGCTGCCCGTTTCTTTCCGTCACCTGATCCTGCCTGAGAAATATCCTCCCCCCACCGAGCTGCTGGACCTGCAGCCATTGCCCGTGTCTGCTCTAAGAAACACAGCCTTCGAGAGCCTCTACCAGAAGTTTCCCTTTTTTAACCCAATCCAAACCCAAGGTACTTGCCTTTAAAGACCATCCACAACACACTATATATTTGACTGAGATCTTGAAACTACCTTTTAAATTAAACCGTTCTTGTTTTCCTCAGTGTTCAATGCCGTGTACAACAGCGATGATAACGTATTTGTTGGCGCCCCCACTGGCAGTGGGAAGACCATATGTGCTGAGTTTGCCATTCTTAGGATGCTCCTACACAACTCAGAGGGCCGCTGTGTCTACATCACACCCATGGAGGCTCTGGCCGAACAGGTATGTTCATAAATATCTGCCTTTCTGGAAATAAATGTCATAATGTAAAGTTTCTATAAAATTCAAGAGATTCAGTGAAATGAGGAATTAAATTGAATGATTGCGACATCATTTTTTTTGTACAGGTCTTTATTGACTGGCACCAGAAGTTCCAGGAGACTTTGAATAAGAAGGTTGTCCTGCTCACCGGTGAGACGAGCACTGACCTCAAGCTGCTGGGTAAAGGCGACATCATCGTCAGCACCCCAGACAAGTGGGACATCCTATCCCGCCGCTGGAAACAGAGGAAGAATGTGCAGAACGTTAGTCTCTTCCTTGTAGACGAGATTCATCTCATTGGAGGTGACAATGGAGTAAGTGTTTGTTTATTCTGGTTTCTAAACTATAATAATGAGCTGTTAAGTCACCAGAGATCATTTGTTTTGTTTTATTTTAAATTTTCTGTCTCTTGTAGCCTGTGCTGGAGGTGATTTGCTCCAGAATGAGGTACATCTCCTCTCAGATTGAGCGGCCCATCCGTATCGTGGCCCTCAGCTCCTCTCTGTCCAATGCTAAAGATGTGGCCCACTGGCTTGGCTGCAGCACTACGGCCACCTTCAACTTCCACCCTAATGTCAGGCCGGTTCCTCTTGAACTTCACATCCAGGTTGGTCTGAATCTCTGTACCTTAATTTTATGTTTAGGCACAATCTTGACCCTGTTACATTTGGTGAAGTTTTGTTCAGTGTTCCTCACTGCTTTTTCCCCCTCCTTAGGGCTTCAACGTGAGTCACACACAGACTCGTCTGCTGTCCATGGCTAAACCAGTGTATCACGCCATAATGAAACATTCCCCATCCAAGCCAGTGCTGGTGTTCGTGCCATCAAGACGTCAGACTCGTCTCAACCCTATTGATATCCTCACCTTCTGTGCTGCAGACGTGGTCCCACAAAGGTGCTTGGAGAAGATCTGTATCGCATATATTAGACACTAGCTTTTTATACTGAGTGACATTAGGCATATAATGACATGAATAATATATTGAAATAAAATTTCCAATGAATATTGATAAAAAAAAATGTCTTACATCACACTGGTTTTGCTGTAGTTCATCTAGTCGTCTTTTTAAACAAAGGGTAGATGTAGTAATAACATGGTAATAACACAAACACTATCAAAATTTGAAATTCACTCAAGTTATTAATCACGTAAAATATGGTTTTAGTTGAAAAAAAACACGTTATGACTGTTTCTAAGCTTACATTCCACCGGGTTCAAATGGACACAGGAATGCAAATATCATATATAGTTTTTGAATGAATTATGAGGTTAATTGAGCTAAAAGAAGTGTTGCCCCCTTCTGCCCCCTGCTCTCTCATGCCAGGTGCCATTCAGGTGATGGTGGCGTCTCGTTCTCTCTGCTGGGGCACCAACATTTCTGCCCACCTGGTGATTGTCATGGACACGCAGTACTACAACGGGAAAATCCATGCGTAAGTGTTTTCTCATCCTTAGAGGGCTTAATTGATTGATACCATCACCAGTATTTACTCTGTGCATGTGTATTGCTCATAAATGTCTTTCTCCAATTAGATATGTGGACTATCCAATCTATGATGTGCTCCAGATGGTAGGAAAGGCTAACCGTCCTCTCCAGGATGATGAGGGCCGGTGTGTTATCATGTGTCAAGGGTCCAAAAAGGTAAAGCTTAAATTAATCCACATATTTTCTTGTCTTAAGATTTTTGGTTACCTCTTAATAATTTTGAACCACCTTGTTCTTTAGGACTTCTTCAAGAAGTTCCTCTATGAGCCTCTGCCTGTGGAGTCTCACCTGGACCACTGTCTTCACGACCATTTCAATGCTGAGATCGTCACCAAGACGGTGGAGAACAAACAGGACGCTGTAGACTACATGACCTGGACGTTTCTGTATCGCCGCATGACCCAGAACCCCAACTACTACAACCTGCAGGGTGAAGAACCACAATCCTTCAAATGCCCACAATTTTCACTACAGCAGGACAAATGGACTTGAAATTCTAAATCTAGACTTTATGCTACAAAATGTAGAGTTTGTTGCAACAGGAATGCATGTGAAAATAAGTCAAGCAACAATGTAATTGTAACTTTTTTTTTTTTAGTGTGTCAGAGACTAAAATATCTTTGTTTTACAGGTATGTCTCATCGTCACCTGTCAGATCATCTGTCTGAGCTGGTGGAAAACACCTTGCAAGATCTGGAGCAGTCCAAGTGCATCAGCATCGAGGATGAGATGGATGTGGCGCCTCTGAATCTGGGCATGATCGCAGCCTATTACTACATAAACTACACCACCATTGGTGAGGACTCTCTCTGTTTAACACACTTCATTAAAGTCACAATGAAACAAGTAGCGACAGATCTTCTCTCTTGTATTGTGACTTACATCCAAGTGTAATGGATTATTGAAAAAGGATGTAGGGTTGGGATTTCGTACCGACTTTAAACAATCACTAAGCTTCTTGATTGTCTTGCCACATCCATCTCATCTGATGCAACTGTTATGTTTGTCCTCTCTCCAGAGCTGTTCAGTATGTCCCTAAACGCCAAGACAAAGGTCCGTGGCCTCATCGAGATCATCTCCAATGCTGCGGAGTATAAAAACATTCCCATCAGGCACCATGAAGACACCCTGCTGCGGCAGGTGAGTAAAAACGCACTTTCCTTTTATGACTGAATATAATATGAACTCTTGAACAGACTGCATCAGAGCTCTCCGTTTACATTTTTGTTTTTTACTTTATCAGCTGGCTCAGAAAGTTCCTCACAAACTGAACAACCCCAAGTTCAACGACCCTCATGTGAAGACCAACCTGCTGCTCCAGGCTCATCTGTCCCGCATGCAGCTGAGCGCTGAGCTCCAGTCAGATACTGAGGAGATCCTCAGCAAAGTGAGGGGAAACACTGAGCGCATAGTGACCCTCTTTTGCTGCTCAACAAAAAAGATTTTTAGTGGCCCCAGTCCATTCAAATTTCAATTCATAATTAAATGCATTTTTGTATGCGTTTAAAACTTTTGAATGTAAAGGTTTTAGTTTAATATATTTCCAAATGTTGTTGAAATAAGTCTCGTATGCTCTCCAATTCTGCATATGTTTGATCAAAATATAATAAAACAGTAAAATTGTGAAATATTCTTACAGTTCAAAATAACTTCCATTAGACCTTTTTAAATGTAATTTATTCCTGATGGCAAAGCCTTTAGTCCAGTCTTGTCACATGATACTTCAGAAATCATTGTAATATGCTGATTCGTGCTCAAGAAACAATATTACTGTTTTTACTGTATTTTTGATCAAATAAATGCAGCCTTTGTGAGCACGGGAAAAAAAACTAGTGTAAAATTGTGACCAGTAGTGTATAAATGAAACATTTTCACCAAATGAATACATAACAGTATTAATTTTTTATTTTATTTTTTAAATAATGTACATGTTTAAATGAAATGTTTCCTAAGTCTTTCTGCTGTTCTCTTGCCCGTGTTTTCAGGCTGTGCGACTGATCCAGGCCTGTGTGGACGTGCTCTCCAGTAACGGCTGGTTGAGTCCAGCGCTGGCTGCCATGGAGCTGGCTCAGATGGTCACACAAGCCATGTGGTCCAAAGACTCGTACCTCAAACAACTACCCCACTTCACTTCTGAACACATCAAGCGCTGCATGGACAAGGTGAGAACTGGGTCTGAGAGGGTTGGGAATCATCTAAACGCTGAACTTCCATCTTTTGGTTATGTGTCTCTTATCTGTTTTGTTGAACGTATATAGGGTGTGGAGAGCATCTTCGACATCATGGAGATGGAAGACGAGGATCGCACTGGTCTTCTGCAGCTTACAGATGTACAAATGGCGGACGTGGCACGCTTCTGTAACCGCTATCCCAACATTGAGCTGTCATACGAAGTGACTGACAAAGACAACATCAAGAGGTACGAACTGAACTCAAAATGCAAAAGGCTTCAGTTGAAAATGCGTAACCTTGTGTGGGTGTACATTTAATAATTTTTAGTATGGATCACTGAAGATATAAATTATCTTTTTGTGCTTACAGTGGAAGTCCAGTGGTCGTCCAAGTGCAGTTGGAGCGAGAAGAGGAAGTTACAGGTCCTGTCATTGCTCCTCTGTTCCCTCAGGTGAGTTTCTATTGACAAACCCCATGTTTACAATAATGTTCAAAAGTTTTGAATCGGTTATGTTTTTAAATAGTGTCTTGCTCACCCAGGCTGCATTTACTTACATCAAAAATACAGTAAAAACAAAAACTCTGTATCTTGAAATATAACTGCACTGTTAAATGATTTCTGTTTAAATAAAGTTTAAAATGTAATGTATGAATTTTCAACAGCCAATACTCCAGTCTTCAGAAATCATTCTAATGTGCTGATTTACAACTCGAGACACATTTCTCATTATTAATATTAACATTATTAATATTTTTTGTGGAAACTGATTAATTTTTTCAGGATTCTTTGATGAATAGAAAGTTCAAAAGAACAGCATTTATTTTAAATAGAAGTAAAAAACAATCTTTAACAAAAAACAAAAAGTCTTTATGACTTTTGATCAATTTAACGCATCTTTGCTGAATAAGTTAATTTCTTAAAAAAAAAAAAAGTTACTGACCCCAATCTTGCAATAAGATATGTTTCAAAATGATGTTGTTTATTTTATAGAAATGCAGCATTACTTCATGACATTGTGTTTGTTTTGTGCAGAAACGTGAAGAAGGCTGGTGGGTTGTTATTGGAGACCCCAAATCGAATAGTCTCATCTCAATCAAGAGGCTAACTCTTCAACAGAAGGCCAAGGTCAGTCCTGCTTTTTTTTGTCCAAGGCAGTAGTGCATTACTTCTGTCTTTTACAACCCTCTAATTGTAGTATTAAAAAAAAAAAAGTCTTGTGAGAACTGTTAATGATATGGAGTCTATTTTCTTCCCTCAGGTGAAACTTGACTTTGTGGCACCTGTTGTTGGTGTGCACAACTACACACTGTACTTCATGAGCGATGCCTACATGGGCTGCGACCAGGAATACAAGTTCAGCATGGAGGTTAATGAAGCAGACAGTGAGGGGGAAAGTGACAGTGATTAATCCCAGATTAGTCATAGTGGATGGTTATATCATGTTAAAGCAGTTTGTGTTTTTTATGTTTTTTTGAAGAATATTGTGACCGTTTAATTCATTGTGATTTAAATAAAGATGTACATTAGAGATTTTGTTTTGCACTTTTATTAAAAGACCATTAGAAGAAATCATTGAGGTCATTAATGTATATTAACAGTGTAAGAATAACTGCATTAAATAAAGAAATGGCTCATTCATGGTCAGTGTTTAGATATGGGGATTCAGTGAGCTTGTTAAAGCAGTATTTAATTCATTGTGATTTAAATAAAGATGTACATTAGAGATTTTGTTTTGCACTTTTATTAAAAGACCATTAGAAGAAATCATTGAGGTCATTAATGTATATTAACAGTGTAAGAATAACTGCATTAAATAAATGGCTCATTCATGGTCAGTGTTTAGATATGGGGATTCAGTGAGCTTGTTAAAGCAGTGTCTCCAAACACATTTGTGTATGAAGCCTTAAGGTAGTGGACGTAGTTCTGCAGGCTGCGGTTGGCACTGTTCACTTGTTCCAACTGGTTCTTCATGTCTTGAAGTTTGCACTGAAATCGCTTCTCCATCTGAAAAATTAACCCCAAACTGTTTCTAGTAGGTCTTAATGTAAGCGCAATTATGAATATTTGACATGTAAGGAAAATGCAAGGAAAATATAAACAAGCGAAGCATCAGTGGCATGTTGCTGATTCCCACAAACATTGACTCGTCTCAGTTTTTGACTTCAATGACCTTTCCAGTGGTTCATGCTTACCGGATAATGATTTTTAGAATTTTGCAGAGATTGATGGGGTTGAATAAAAGCAATGTTATCACAGTGGCTTTTGCTTGTTTCGCGCTACAAAGAGATATCTAGCTGCTTAAATATTTTAGAGAAATATCAGATTAACTAAGTTTTCTAGAGGGGAAATATGATTAACAAAAAAAGTGAAGACAAAACAATTACGCACTTAAAAGAAGCCTAGAAGCAACTCTAAAAACTTGCTTCATAGACTTCCATTATCAGTATGTTTCTACTGAGCCTCTAGATCAGGGGTGTCAAACTCAATTCCTGGAGGGCCGGAGCCCTGCAGAGTTTAGATTCAACCCTAATTAAACACACCTGATCCAACTAATCAAGTCCTTCAGGCTTATTTGAAATCTACATGGTATGTGTTGGAGCAGGGTTGGAACAAAACTCTGCAGGGCTCTCCAGGAATTGCGTTTGACACCCCTGCTCTAAAGGGACATTATATTTCAATGCTTTGCATTTTGCAGAGAATTTTACAGTATAACGCTTTAATGATTTACGCTACAAAGAGATATCTAGCTGCTTAAATATTTTAGAGAAATAACAGATTAACTAAGTTTTCTAGGGGGGAAATATGATTAACAAAAAAAGTGAAGACAAAACAATTACGCACTTAAAAGAGATGCCTAGAAGCAACTCTAAAAACTTGCTTCATAGACTTCCATTATCAGTATGTTTCTACTGAGCCTCTAGATCAGGGGTGTCAAACTCAATTCCTGGAGGGCCGGAGCCCTGCAGAGTTTAGATTCAACCCTAATTAAACACACCTGATCCAACTAATCAAGTCCTTCAGGCTTATTTGAAATCTACATGGTATGTGTTGGAGCAGGGTTGGAACAAAACTCTGCAGGGCTCTCCAGGAATTGCGTTTGACACCCCTGCTCTAAAGGGACATTATATTTCAATGCTTTGCATTTTGCAGAGAATTTTACAGTATAACGCTTTAATGATTTCTGTAATATTTTCCAAATGTGGTGTTGTCGTGGAGCTTGTTTAGTATTGTGCAATGGAAAGTTTCAGGGCTCAAAGTCTGCTGGCGAACACTTACATCCTCTTTGCTGAGGCGCAGCTGACCCAGCTCCTTTTTAGCCAGGCTCAGCTGGCTCTCCAAATCCAGCATTTTAGACTGAGCTGAGCGTTCTTTGGACAGCACCCGCTCCAGGCTCTGGTCCACCTGTGAACAAAGACTCAACTTGAAAAGCATGTATACACTAACCTCACACAGGTGCAACATCTGTAGCATCAAAATGAAATTGCTGTGGACTGTGACCTGTCTCTGCGCCTCCTCCCTGGCCTGCTCCAGCAGTCTGTGGAGGGAGTCACACTCTCTGCTCCTCTCCTCCAGACGCAGCTGAGTGTTGTGGATGGTCTCTTCACGCTTAGCCACAACCTGAAGCAGATCCCTGTTCTGAGTGCTCACATCGTCCATCTTCCTGTGTGAACCAAGAAGAGCGAATGATACAAAAATGTGACCGTCGTAGAAATACTGGTAGGAAATTTAACAAAGTATTTAGCTTCAACTGTCTTTGTGTCAATTGGGTGTTTATGTTAAAAGACCCAATCAAATGTTATTAATTTATTGTTTTATTTTTCGAATTATTTTCTGCTAATATTTCCTGTTTAAAATTTAAAAAGTGATGCTTTCTAGCCAGTGGCAGGAGAGCAGAATATATTATATAATATTAGTAATATAATGATATAAATATATTTTGGTTTATTTTATAAAAGATGGAAATTTAAATATAAATAATAATTTTGCAAAGGTCTTTTAAAAATTGTATTATATTATAGCAGGAGATAATGCCATTTTATATATATATATATATATATACTATTTTGATTTCATGAGGTCTTTTAAAAATATATTTATGATATTATATTTCCTTTTATAATATGCATTTCAGCTGCATATTATAAAAGGAAATTTAAATATAATTATCAATTATTCATAATTTCTTTTAAAAATATTATAAATATTAAATTACATTATATTTATTATATTATATTAGAGCAGATGTGCAGCAGACCTTTCAGTGCTTTCTATGGAGCGTTTTAGCTGCATGTTTTCTTCAAGTACAAATAAGTTCTTCTCCTGGAGATTCTCTATTTTACAACTCTGCAGCTCCATCTACATACAAAAAAAGAAAATGCATCATGAAATGAAAAACCCTTCTGATTTCACTAATATTTGTGGTGTGAACATGAGTACACATGTGTGATCACCTTGATTCTGAGCTCAGACAGAGTGCTGTTCTGCTCTGTATTTCTCCTGTCCTGGATATGCATGTTCTCTCTGACCTCCCTGAACTCATCCTCCGAGTGCTTCAGAGCTTCACGCAGCATCTCCATTTCCTTCAGATGAGCCTGGAGCTGCTTGCGGCCCTGTTCCATCTCTCTTTCCATCTCCTCGCGGTCACTCTGTGCTTCCTTCTCCACCATCTCCAGCCTCAAAGAGTATTCCTCTGACTCCAAACGTGTCTTTTGCAACTGCAAGAATTACAAAGGGTTAATGTACTATGTCTCAGTGAAGATGGACTGTAATGAGCTGTGAGGGTGATATGTTAAAAGCACCTGACTCTTGTAACCCTCAACCAGACTCTCAAAGTCTCTGAGAGAAATTTTCAGACGCTGTACCTCCGACTGAGTCAAAGACAGCCTGTCCTCTGTGGCTGACAGAGTGCTCTAAAAGATGAGACATGCAAGACAAAGCACAAAAAATCTAAATCAGAGCTTAAATGGCTTTGGATGAATAAGAAAAGTCTAGATCTAGACAGATTTTTTTAGATTTATTGCCTCGAGTCTCTGGTTTTCCAGTTTGGTAGCTGTGCTCTCTGAGGTGAGGGAGTGTAGACGGCTGAGAAGCCCCTCTCTCTCTGTGCAGGACTTCTCCTCACAACTGTGCAGCTGTTCACTCAACTCAGTGAGGCGACTGCAAATACGACAATTGGGTAAATATCAGGAAACTTGACAAAAAAACAACTTTTATATTGAGTTTATATAATATTTCAATCCTCAAAAGACAAAAACAAGAAATTATACTTTAAATAAAGAAAAGCTGTTCAAAACCATTTTATTCAGAGTAATTCTCATTACTATATATATATATATATATATATATATATATATATATATTGTATCGCCCTATTTATATAGTGCCATTTTGGAGAGTATCCGCAGCTGACACAGAACAGCATACGCTGTTTACGTCCAGTGGATACTCTCCAAAATGGCACTATAGGGTGATGCGGAGGAGACAAATTGTTGAATAAAGTCGTTGTTATTTTTTTTTCTTTTGCGCACAAAAAGTATTCTCGTAGCTTCGTATAATTGCGGATGAACCACTGATGTCACATGGATTATTTTACAGACCTCCTTGTTACGACTCTGGACTTGGGATCATTTCAGTTGTATTGCTGTCTATGCGGGGTCAGACAGCTCTCAGATTCCATCAAAAATATCTTAATTTGTGTTCCGAAGATGAACTAAGGACTTACGGGTTTGGAACGACATGAGGGTGAGTAATTAATGACCGAATTTTCATTTTTGGGTGAACTAACCCTTTAAGCAGCACTGTTTAACATTGAATCTGAAATGTTTCTTGAACACAAAATCAACATATTAGAATGATTTCTGAAGGATCATGAGACACTGAAGACTGGAGTAATGGCTGCTGAAAACTCAGCATTGCCGTCACAAGAATAAATTACATTTGAAAGTTATTTTAAACTGTAATAAAAATTATAATCTTAAAGATCATTGTTTAAATGTATTTTAATGTAATATGGTAAAATGTAATACATTATGCTAAAAAGAATGAATGGATGAAATAAAGATAATATGGATAAAGTAAATTAAGTAAAATGCTCAAAAACATGTTTGGCTGAGCTTCAGTGAACACTTAAAGCAAATGAAGAAAGAGTCTCTGACTTATTTAAGGTGGTGATCTCCAACTCCAGCTGGTTTTTCTCTCTGTTCTGTTTGGAGTAACGCTGCCGAAGCTCCTCAGCAGTGGAGAGAGCCTCTGCTAACTGAGCTTCCTGAAGAGATGACAGAAACCGCTTGGTTCATACTGGCCAACTGCATAAAAATCAGTCTTTCAAACAAACTGTAAGATGTGAGACAATGTCAAGTCAAGTGAATACATGAGCCAGCAGTGCCATATTAAAATAAAGGACTTTGGGAGAATTATTTAAGCAATTAGCACTTTGTAAACCACGAAGGTCTACAGAATCTTTCTATAAATTTTATGAAACCCTGTAGCACAGTTCATTTATTGTTCTTCTGTACAGTACCTTGTCCAGGAGTTGTGCAGCTGTATTCACACTTTGTTCAGCCTGTTTCCTCTGGTCCTCCAAGGTCTGTTTGTAGACGTCTCTGTCTCCTTCACAGTGCTGCTTCAACTCTCTCATCTGCTCCAGCAGGCCTTGCACCTCCTCCTGTTGATGCTGCAGTGTCCCTTCCAGCCTCTGTGCCACAGTACAGTACATACTTACATGATGTTCCACTTTACATCAATGAAAACCACGACTAAGGTAAAAATCCAAGTAGGGTTACTTGAATCTGAGCCTCCAGCCGATTATTTTCAGCTTCTTTCTTGTGCAGCTGATTCTGCAAGCGACTGCGGGTGGATTCAAGAACCTTTGAAAGCTCTCCTGCAGTCCTCAGATGCTCCTGTGATGACAATAACACTGATGCAAATTCACTATATGCAAGTATTCAGAAATGCAGAAGAGGTATTAAAACATGTCATAGAGGAATGTTACACAAATTAATAGAAAAATAAGAGAATTAGTGAGATATAATTATTACCTTTTCATTTTCAAAATTCTCAGCCATCTGATTGGCCGCTCTTTCTCTGTTGTTGAGTTTAGTCTCAAGTTTCTAAAAGAGAACGTTACTATAATACTATCAACAAAGTATTTCTAAATGGCTTAAGAAAAAATGAAGTCTTTCAAATCAAGTTTTTAAAAAGTCTCGTTTGTTCATTAAGGCTGCATTTATTTGATCAAAAATACTGTAAAAACAGAAATATTGTGACATATTATAACCATTTTAAATAATTGTTTTCTGTTTTATGTATTCTAAAAAAGAAAAAAAAACAATTCCTGTGACGGCCGATTTGGTGCCTGAAAAACGTTTTTAATTATTATCAATGTTGAAAACAGTTGTGCTGCTTAATATGTTTTCTAGAAACCCTGAAACAATGTTTTTCAGGATTCTGTAATGAATAAAAAGTTCAGCATTTATTTTTACAAATAGACATTTTGTTTTGTAAAATAAGTCTTTACTGCCACTTTAGATCAATGTAACGCATACTTTTTGAATAAAATGTATGTGTATCGGGCTCACAACATTATTATATACAGTGCCCTCCACTAATACTGGCACCCTTGTTAAATATGAGCAAAGGCATCTGTGAAAATAAATCTGCAAATCTTTCATCAAAAAAAAATTAATCATAAAATTCTAACCTATCATAGATGTAAAACAATTGATAGTGGTGGGAACTCACATTATGAAATAAATGTTTTTCTCCAATGCATGTAAATGTTGGTGTTAGTTTACAAACCCTTTTCTCAGCCTCAGAATCAGCTAGTTTTCTCATTAGCATCTCCCTCTCATCAGACAACCTCAATGCATCTGTCTGTGGTGAAAAGGACAGACGAAACAAACTTTTGTTTTGTTTACAAAAAAGTGCATATACACAATACTGCAGAACCAACAGTCTGACACAAATATGACACAAATTTAGTTTAACGGAAGTTCTTTTTGTACCTCCCGTCCATGCTGTTCCCTCAAAAGCCGTCTGAGAGTGCGATTTGTCTCCACAAACGTGTCTAACTTTTGCTCTAGTAGCTCATGTTGACGACCCAACTGATCAGAGTGTGTCTTTGACTGTTTTTTGTCCTGAATACACAAAGTTTAGTCAAGTCTGTGTTTGTTTTACTAATCCTTTTCTGTTTATTCACAGCATATTTATACGGTCAGATAAATAATCCTGATGGAAGAAAATTTATGTATTTTAAACGATTAATGTGATATGAATAAAAAATACCACTAACCTTAATACAAGTATGCAACGTTGCGTCCCCTGTGTAATGTTGTTTGAAAGACCCGGTAGACTTTCGCATGGATAACAATAGCCGCCAATCGGAGACGCGTCTGACGCTCTAAGTCCCGCCTTCAACATTCTGTTTTGAATCTGATTGGCTGGTTCGAAATTTAAGCGACAAAAAATTGAGAAGTGTGTTTAACGCCCAGTAAACTTGAACTGGAGCTTATTGGGTTTCTATGCCAACGACGCGTTACTATGTACACCTCAGTTTTTAGCCTGTCCGTGAAATTTTCTCAGAACTTGCTATTTTATACAGTCTGATGTGGTGCCATTAGAATGTACAGCGTGTATTTTAATTTGTAGGAGTGTCTTACCTGACATGCGTTAGCTTCATTTCGAAAAATGCATGACAGATTGTTTTACTAATCCTTTTCTGTTTATTCACAGCATATTTATACGGTCAGATAAATAATCCTGATCGATGAAAATTTATGTATTTTAAACGATTAATGTGATGTGAATAAAAAATACCACTAACCTTAATACAAGTATGCAACGTTGCGTCCCCTGTGTAATGTTGTTTGAAAGACCCGGTAGACTTTCGCATGGATAACAATAGCCGCCAATCGGAGACGCGTCTGACGCTCTAAGTCCCGCCTTCAACATTCTATTTTGAATCTGATTGGCTGGTTCGAAATTTAAGCGACAAAGAATTGAGAAGTGTGTTTAACGCCCAGTAAACTTGAACTGGAGCTTATTGGGTTTCTATGCCAACGACGCGTTACTATGTACACCTCAGTTTTTAGCCTGTCCGTGAAATTTTCTCAGAACTTGCTATTTTATACAGTCTGATGTGGTGCCATTAGAATGTACAGTGTGTATTTTAATTTGTAGGAGTGTCTTACCTGACATGCGTTAGCTTCATTTCGAAAAATGCATGACAGACTACAGACTAACCAGCTGACAACCATCTGCTTGAGATGTTTACTTTATTTCACTGACAAATATTTATCACTTTTGTCATCAAAAGATGATGCATAGCCAAAAGTTCTTGGTTAACTGGACACTCCAAATGTCCAAAGCAACTTTCACATAACCATTACTCCGTAAGATCACATTTTAAGTTAAACCCCTTGAGAACCCAAGGACGAAACACATCAATATGAACATTCAGTAAACCACAGCTTCAAACCTCAGATTGGACATTTATGAACAGAGAACAGTAAGCCAAACAGAGGTAGACGCAAGCATCTACATGATCTATCACAGGGCTGAGCTCATCTGCTTAGGTAACCTGAACACCACATGATGAGAGTGGCAGCACTTCAATATTACAAAAGGAAGAAAATTAATTCAAAACAACAAGAAACAGTAACTTGTGTAAAAAAAAAAAAAAAAACTGTCATTTGTTGAAAAAAAGACTAAATCACTAGATTATAAATTTGTCGATAATCTGATTTCAAGCTAGTTCACAAAGATGGAAAAAATTGGATGATTTCAGAACAATCCTAAAACCCATTCACAATCTCTACAGATTATATGAGGTTGTTTTACTTTAAATAGCATTTGGTTCAGGTTGCGCTTTGCTTCACAAAGTAAAAGAAAACACTATGAGAGAAATACATAAATTCAGTCTAGTAGTAAAACAAAACATGGGGGGGGGAGGAAGACTACCATTAGATGGCATCAAGTTTGTTTTTTAAAGTTGTGCTGTGGTATCAAGTGCTTCAAGTTGGTGCAGCGATGACAGAAGCTTTGATTTTATGACACTCCTTGTGTGGCCTTCTGCACATGTCGGTACCAGTTCTTCACCTTGGTATTTTCCATCATATCATCAAATGCCTGAAGGCCTTCCATAACCCTCAGAACACCAAACACGGCCTGAGTTGAAAACAAAGTATAAGAAGGTATTTTCCACCATACCACAGATAATTAAACATATGTTTATTAACATAAACACAAAAAAAATATTAGGCAGCATAACTTTTTCAACTCTGGGTGCTGAATAATGGCTGCTGAAAATTCAGCTTAGTCATCAAAAGAATAAATTACATTTTAAATATATAATTAAAAAAATAAATTTAATTGTAATAATATTTCACAATATTACTGTTTTTACTAGGGATGTAATGATTAACCGCGAGCTGGTCGAAAATCGATTCAAATGTGGCGATTCAGATCGGTTGAGATGCCAAACAAATCGAGAAACAATTGGAGTAGGAGTTTATAAGAATGTATCTCTGAGGGGAACTGACTATCATTAGAAAAGTTTACGTGGTATTTTCTTTTCATCTTGCCTCTGAACAATGCATGTTAAAGTAGTGTTCATAAGCCAGCTCTGCTTTGTTTACAGCGGTACCCCAGGAAACACTGTATCATTGCTGTTCATAAGCGCCACCTGCTGTCAGAGAGTGCATCTGCATCTCATTCAGAAAACTTTAGAACCGTAGTGTATTTATATATTTTGAATAAGATTTTAGACTGAGAGAGAAACACATACCAGATCTGCAAGGTTGGGTTGATCGCCTCCCATTAATTTCTTGTTTTTTCCAATGGCTGCCACCCAATCATTGACAGCCTTGTAGAGATCCTGTCTCACATCATCTTGCAGATGGTGTCTGTGTAGTATGAGGTTAACCTTTATAATCAAAACATTTTTGACAAATATCTTATGTAAAATGCACTGCCCTCAAAAACCTACTTCTTTTTCAATCTCTTTGAAATGATCCACATGGCAGCAGCTCCAAAATACTTTGCAAAGAATCCCTCAAATGTGTCAAATTTGCCTTCTCGTACTATGTAGTCAAAGGATGCAAGGGCTTCAGTCGGCGTGCGGTAAACATTTGGGGAAATTAGGTGCACCAGCCACTCATCTGCCCATTTCCGCCATTTAATCTCCTCTCTGGCCAAAAAGTGTTATTAAAAAGCTCATACAATAATTAATACAATAATGTAAATTCAATTTAAAAAAGTTAATAAAGCAATCACTTTCAGACATAACTGATTTGCTTTACTTTCTGGTGTCTTTTCCTGGATATAGATGATCAGCATCTGTGTCTCGCACCATGACCCAGTATTTATTGCCAAACTCTATCACATCTTTTCCACTGTCATTTTTTGCCTTCATCTCAGGATAACATGCGAGAATCTCCGATATAGTTTTTTCCCTAAAAGAAGCAGTGAACAGACAATCAAAATTTGCATTTATATTTACATTTATTTGCCTAACGAAAAAAACTATTAGAAAACTGAATACAGTGCTCAAATTTAGGAAAATATTAAATAGTCAATTTCCAATTAGTACTGTAAAGAAAACTTTGTTTATTGTCGGAAGAATAACCATATTTGGGGTCCATAAAAAATAAACAAAAAAACTTTTCTAAATGAATATAATACACAAATATACCAATGTACCAAATATACCAATATGTTTATGCTACAAATAGTCATTAAAAGCGCTTAAAACAAATAAATTCTAACATCCATAGATTTGATACTCCAAGATACTCACTTGCTGACCAGGTATGTCTTCAAAACACTAACTATTACAGAAGAATCGTTGAGTTGCTGTTGAGATATAAACAAAGAGAGGAACTTGATGAGTAGAGGTATCATATATCAGGAAGAGGATATCGATCATAATCAGAAAGACAGATGAATAGCTACATACCACCGTCTCGTTCACCATCAGGATGGGAACTTTTCTATAAGTGGACCACTTGACCTCCTGTCGCATAACGGGATTGACCTCCACAACTTCATATGGCAGACCATGATAATCCAGGAAGGCTCGCACCTTGCTGCAAAACGGACAGGTTTTATACTGATACAGAGTCAACTTCAGATCTGTCCCCAGCTCAGGAGCCTAATAAAAACAAGTTAATAAAACCATAGTGAGCAAACAAACCCAAAAAATAAGGGCACATTTGAACACTTTCATCCAAAAATACTGCCTGAACTGGATACTTACATTTGATTTTTCCTCTGCAAGGTGACGCTGTAGCGTGAGTTTGACGGTCTGGTACAAGCCGAAACCACCACCGAGCAGGAAAGCGCATCCCAGGACTCGCCCACTGCCACGCACCGGCGCAGCGAGCGAAAGTCTGGATCTAAATCCTGCTCCGCCGGTACCGTAAGCTCTTCCTTGGCATCTCATGGAGATTCTCGGCATTAATGCTGCGGTGTTTGTTACCCGGCATGTCGGCGTGTCTAAAACTAACCGGCCGACCTTACTAAGCGTTCTCGCACAGGCCGCCGCCATCATGATTTTACATAAACTCCCACAAGTACGGCAAGCGCGATGGCAAATGCTACAAGAGAATACAAGAGCCGTTTCCCAGGAGAAAGTTTACTTCCTCTAGGGGCGCGAGAGGACCAAACACAGAATGCCCCATTAATCCGCGTTAAAATCTTTTCTTTTGGTATTAAAATCGTTTATTTGTAATTAAAGATATTTCTTTACAAAATTTACTTTATATAATAGTTTTTATATATGAATTTGGTTGAAATACAAATAAAAAATATGCTTCAATAATCTCTACCAATAAATTAAGGAGATAAAATAAATATTCGATAATCATCGTACTCGAGGCAACATCTGGACATCTTATCCCCACTTACTTTAATTAAACTTCAATTGTCGTACAAATTGAACATTAACATTTTCATCTGTTTTTGAATTTACCCGGAGTAGCCTATTGTGATGTTCTAGAGTAGCCTACCATTAAACAAGTACAGTATTTAAAATATACAGTCTTTATGTTGTTTCTACATCAATTTGGAAATGAACTGTGACATTATTACATTATAAAATATATTGAAAACTTAAAACGTGTTTTTAATCACAATCTAGTTGTTTTTCATCGACAGCACTATGTGTGTTTTATATGTGTTAGACAGAAAGTGTGATTATTAGCCTATATATATCTGAAAAAAGAAAAGCTCCTTTCATTGTCAGTTTGTATAGTGGATTTATTAGCTTGTGATTAGTTAACTTGTAAGAAGCAATTTTATGAAGTTAGAACAGAGAACTTAGCAGAAGTCTTTTCTTTACAGTAAACTATGCCTAGATTCAGACCCAAGGAGACGGATAGGGGACTCCAGCCACAATCACTGTTTTGAGAGTGAGGGCAGCAGCAAAGTCACATGGCGTTTGTCATGTGACTTTATATCGCTTCATTAAGAAGGCGAGGGTGACAGGTGCGCTCTAAACGGGATATATCGGGGAAGTCGTGGCCTGATGGTTAGAGAGTCGGACTCATAACCCAAAGGTTGTGGGTTTGAGTCTCGTACCGCCAGGGATTGTAGGTGGGGGAAGTGAATGTACAGTCTCTCCCACCTTCAATACCACGACTGAGGTGCCTTTGAGCAAGGCACCGAACCCCCAATTGCTCCCCGGGCGCCGCAGCATAAATGGCTGCCCACTGCTCTGGGTGCGTGTTCACGGTGTGTGTGTTCACTGCTGTGTGTGTGCACTTTGGATGGGTAAATGCAGAGCACTAATTCCGAGTATGGGGTCACCATACTTGGCCACATGTCACGTCACTTTCATATCGCATTTCGGAGTGAAAACAATCATGGCCGCCATATTGAAGGGTCGTTCCAAATCGAAGTGCTCAAAACTGGCCACTTCAAAGGGCCCTTCGGAATGAAGGATTTCGAAGGGTACAACTGATGGACACTTCGTACTCCCATGATCCTTTGCGCAGATTCTTTGCATGATTTTATTTGCCTCCGTGTGGGCACGTGATATGAGAAACAGAAACAGTTGTTTGGTCCCCTACACCCTTCAACCCATCGAAGCTCTCACTCCGGAGGGTAAACCCTTAGAAGGGATTAGAGCGTAGGGATGAGCCCTTTCAAATGGTACGCAGGGAGTGAGTGAAGGCACATCTAGGACAGGATACCGGCCAGCCAGTAAACTGTTCACGGCAGAGCAGGAGACCATATTGTCGGAGTACCTCCTCAGGGCTGCTGACTTATATTATGGTTTAAGTCCCAAAGAGGTAATATAATACATTGCTGAACTTGTTATGTTTCATGATTATTTGTGTAGAATGAACAGTTTTTTTAGCTTATGTTGACATACTGTAGCCTATATATGTTTACAATTTTTAATTCACACAAATGCTTTAATACAGGTTCTCAAATATGCCTATGAACTGGCAAAGGCTCACAACTGCAAGCACCCCAAGTCATGGGATGAGCGTGGAATGGTTGGGGCTGACTGTTAGATGGTTTCCTGAAAAGGCACCAAAGCCTTTCCCTGAGACAGCCACAAGCCACAAGCTTAGCTAGGGCAACAAGCTTTAATAAAACCAATGTGTCCAAGTTTTTCAACAATCTGGCAGAGGTATTTCAAAAACATCATTTCACTACCAAGGATATCTGGAATATGGATGAGACAGGGGTCACCACTGTTCAGAAACCGGAGAAGATTCTTGCCAGAAGAGGCCAAAAGCAAGTGGGGTCAGTAACATCTGGAGAGCGTGGAACACTTGCCACTGTGGCATGTGCAGTAAATGCACTGGGGAATGCAATCCCTCCACACTTTGTGTTATCCAGGGTAAACTTCCACCCTCATTTCATTAGGGATGGACCCCCTGGCTGTATAGGAATAGCAAACAAATCAGGATGGATGCAGGATGAAGATTTTCTTGAGTTCTTGCGGCACTTCCAAACCCATACAAGAGCCTCTCCAACACAGAAGGTCTTGCTGATCCTCGACAATCATCACTACCACATGTTTTTGCGAGGTATACTTTTCTGGCATTATTCTCCTCTCCAACCCCCTGCACTGTTCCAGTGTGTTCGCAGTGTGTTTGGCCCTTTCAAGAAGATGGTTTACACCTTCTCTGACAGCTGGATGAGGCATCATCCTGGAACAACCATGTCCATTTATGACATACCAGCAATTGTAAGGGATTCTTTCCCAATGGCTGCCACACCATCAAATATCCAGGCTGGCTTCAGGTGCACAGGCATTTGGCCCTTCATCAGGGAAATTTTCAGCGATGCTGATTTTGCACCATCCTGCGTCACTGACCGTCCACACAATCCTGAGACATCAGTCACTGGTCCAGCTTCCACTGTGTCCATCGCCTCCACTGTGTCTGCAGCTGGACAGTTCTCCATCTCCTCCGTGCCTGCCACTGCACCACCTTCCTTCTCCTCCACCGTGTCTGGGGATGGGCAGTTCTCCATCTCTTCTGTGCCTGCCACTGTACCACCTTTCTTCTCCTCCACCGTGTCTGGGGATGGGCAGTTCTCCATCTCCTCCGTGCCTGCCACTGCACCACATTCCTTCTCCTCCACCGTGTCTGGGGATGGGCATTTCTCCATCTCCTCCGTGCCTGCCACTGCACCACCTTCCATCATCTCCTCCGTGCCTGCCACTGCATCACCTTCCTTCGCCTCCACCGTGCGTGCCACTGCATCCATCTCTGGGACACCCTACATCGCCTTAAATGTACCTACAATTGGGCCTTTCTCCACCACTTCCACTGTGCCTATCCCTGGGCCAAGTTCCTTTGCCTCCACCATGCCTGCTGCTGGAACATCTTCCTTGATCATTGAGGATTTTTTTGCCTATCTTGGTGAGGCCATTCCCAAAAGCAGGGCCCTGAAAGATAACTAAGACCAGAAAAAGGAGAACGACTGAAATTCTTACAGACACACCTGTCAGGAATTCCTTTGAGGAAGAGCAGGAGAAGGCACCCGTCTCCAAAGTAAAATGAAAGATCTTTGCAACAAAGGAGAAAATGGTAAAGAAAGGAAAGAAGTACACAAAAGAAAATGAGGATAAGACTGTGGAGGAAGAATGTAATTCACCAGAGAAGCAGAACAAAACATCTTCCTCTAAAGTAAAGCAAAAGGTCTCTGCAGAAAAGGAAAAAAGAGGAAAAGAAAGAAGAGTACAAAAGAAAATGTTGAGGAAAGTGAGGAAGAGGAAGAATTCTGCATTGTCTGCCTGGAGAGGTCTGGCTGTCTTGTGTGTCTTGCCATTCCTGGGCACACTTGGCCTGCACTGATGGCAGTGACATACATGTGCCACAACTGTGAATCAGACTAGAGTTTAACATGCAGCTTAATTAAGTATGGCAAATCATTATGTCATTGTTTACGGAAATTATTTGTGTTACACATTAAACAGTGTAGCTTTTAAATATTTATAAAAATACAACGAATGTTATCTCCACATGATCACATTGTTAATATGTCAATATTTTGTACCATTTCATTAAAGTTTGGTTAAAGACTGTTCTTGACTCATCAGCTGATAAATATTTCAATAAAATATATATTTAAATAATTAAAATCTAGTTCCCACTAGAATAGTTGCCTTGTCTTCTGCAAAAATTGAAATAGACTTTTGCTTTTTGAATGCATATGATGCTAGACATCTAAAGGAAGTTGAAAACTTCTTGAAAAAAAAAATCTTAATGTTATTAAATACTACAGTAAAGTGATTACTTTGAGGTAGGCTTTTATTTGAGATACATTGGGCTAATTTGACTTATATTTCAGTGTTACAATCTCCCCCACCAAGGGGGCAATTGTAATACTCTGACTTCTTGCATTTAGTTTAATATTATAATCTTGTCCTTATTAGTGAAAATATATAAATTATTTTATTAATTAGTGTACCTATATTTCTTTCTTGTATAAAAAGATGACTAGTGTGTTTCAAGTAGTCTGTGATTTATGAAGGAAAATGTAAAAAATTTTACAATTTCCCCCAGTCTCCCCTAACTTACTTATTCATTAATTATCAATTAATAAATTTTCTAGAATACCTGCATTGCAGGATAAATTATGTGTTATTATTAGGGACAATATTTATAAAACAAAACAAGGACATGTTTACAGGCTTGGGCCAGGAGGTCTCTTATCTGTTAGCATTCCCATTCATCTTAAAGACAGTTGCTTACGACTTTATTTACACAGATTTGTTAAATCCAAGTTTTGTGTCATTTAAAAATGATTTGAAATTTGTATTTTAATCTTTAAAGAAACTGAAAAAAAGGAATGCCCTAAAACGCTCTAAATACTTTGATTAACCCCCTTAAGTTTAAAATAAATTCATATTTTTTTTATTAACCAATTATTAAATTTACTAGCAACATGAAAAAAATACAGAGAAAAAAAGCCATTTCATGATTTTAAGAACCCTATTAGCCAGTTTCGGACACTGATAAAACATTTACTATAATATAGTCAAATATTAGCTGTATATATAACATCAATGCTCTTTTAAGCCAGATGATGTAGTTACAGCATCTACCGGCAGGGACTAACAGGGGCTAACA